ACTTTCAGACGAGGCTCTTATTTTGGTGTATCAGCTATGGCCAGATACTATCAGATATTATCAGGCAGATAATTCACTACAAGTGTTATGTATTGGACTGCTGGGCCTTTTTAATATCTAACACCTGTGGTCAAGGTTTCCTCTTATCATCACTTCTCTGCTCCAGGTATTTTGATTTGTGAACTGATGGATTTTCTGTGTAGTTTTCAGCTGCTACATCCGTGTTTAGAAATGAAACCTGTCGGTAGTTTTCAACTCGAGTGCAAAGCATGCAGCTGTTAAAACCATCTCCTAATCTGAAAATACCATCAGTGCATTTGAGAGAGATTATTTTTCTTGCCTAAGGAAGTTCTCAGTGCTTTCACCATGTTGCATGTTTGTGTGCTGACTGGCACTGTTCTGTTGGTTCAGTGACTGCAAGAATATGCCACATGCTGAAGTGCTATGTTGGAAATGAGTTCTTTGGTTTTTAGATGGCATTTGTCTTTTACTGCTCAGACGTGCTCTGCAGTAGTGAGGCAGTGCAGTATCGAGCATGTTAATGATGTTAATATCTTACAAACTCACTGATAGAAGCATCCGTTCACTTACACTGTTTCATGAATACCATGGTCTTTGAATTTTCAGAGCAATGTTTAAATATACTTGCTATTCCCTCATTATCCTAAATCCATTTCTGAGCTGTTAGAGATGTTAAAATTTTTTTGTATATGTCTCTAAATATCTGACCTTGTCTCCATTTTCATTCTTTCTGTCATCCTTGTTCCTTTTCAGTGTCGGCGCAGTTTAAATGAGAGTGAAATGATTTCATTGCACCAATTTCTGTTAGAAGCTGATGCACTGTATCCCTCTTGCTACTCCCTATGTCCTTCCCTCCATCAGGAACCCTCGCAGTCACTCGAATCGCTCCTCAGTCATTCATGTCCTGACAGCGTGAGGCACAGAACAGGCAGGGGAAATAGGAGATCTACTTCACTTTATATCCCCAGGGTATCCGTTGTTCTTGTTGTAAAGGCAACAGCTCCCAACTTACCCCAGCTTTTGCTAGCATATTAATACCTATAGAAGCGTACTGTAACTCTTAGCTCTTATTTTAAAGGCTACCAGATCACTTGCATTAATTGCTTATAAAGTATTTCTAGTGCTTGTTCATAAACACACTTGTATTTGGAGGACATGTGTGTAATTGAAGTTTAAAGTGAAGTTAAAAATAACCTTAACATTCTAACATTTAGTTGAGCATAGAAATCTTCTCGCTGTGCTTTGACCGTTGATGGTGTTCACTTCTAGCAGACGAGTATTGACACTGGAAGAAACATTTGGAACTCTAGTGAACTTATTAAGCTTTAACATGCTCCCTAGAGAATAGTCAAGAAATAAATTCCATGAGCTTGTTTCAGCATGTTTTTCATGAAGACAGCATGTCTCTTAACTATTCTGAGCATGCCTTGTACTAATAGTCCAATGGCAGCTGATCATATGTCACCATTTTTGGATTGCATGGGCCATCCCCATGAAATACTCATTGTATATTTTCTTTTACTGCCAGGTTAATTGTCCAACTTGAAATTTGCAAGTTAATAGTGGGCAAGCAATAATTTCTCGATTTTTGTAATGTTTTTTTGTACATGTCATTACGTCATATGTGCGGCTTTTAACATATATAGTGGATTGAGTGGGAAAAGTGAGAGGAATCGGTGAAGCTTTCTTGTAATGCTAGCACATCTCCCCAAGGTATTCTCTCCTGTGATATTCCTGATGTTACAGTAGAGTGTTACCCAGATAAACTCTGTTCTGGAAGATGACAGACCATCACTGCTATTTGCTGATAGCAATGGCTGTCACAAATATGATATTGATGTTACAGTGACAGTGGCTGCTGTGAAAGGAAGCAAAGGAGAAGCTGCCCGCATTGCAAATGGATTTCAATATTTTAAATTTCAGACAATTAATCTGGCAAACAAGACTATCGTGATCGAATTATGATGAGCATGTTACTCCTTGGTTTGGAGTCGTACTAATTGTAAATATTTATATGCTCTGTTTTCCACTTCAAATATAAAGTCTGTGGTCATATTTCGGTTGAATTAAGTGGGAAGGAAGATTATCTGAACACAAAGCTCTGCATGATTCTTCAAGCAAAAAATGTTGTCATTAATGTGGCATGTGCATGTTTTCTTACACCAGGATACTTCCAGTAACAGAGATGACTTGCTCAGCGATTATTTTAGGAAAGCAAATGAGCCTTCAGCTACTGGGAACCTGCTGGTTCAGCCATCCAGAAAGGAAACTGCTAAGATGCCCACTAGTCTTGTTGCTTCAGCTGCTAAGGTGACCATCGCCAGCGAAGAAGGAAGAGCAGCTAAGCCTGGAAATTACACGAAGCCAAACTTCAGACAAGTTGAACCTGAGCCTCTGGCAAACTCCCAGGGGTCCCTTAAGCTTCCTCACACACCACAGCACCAGCCCGCCAGCGGGGTGAGGCAGATGGCACAGCCTCAGCACCCTGGAACGGCGAGCAGGAGGAGCACATCACTGAGCAGGGCATTTAGCTTGGCCTCTGCAGACCTCCTCAGAGCCACCGGCCCGGAGACATACAGGCAGGAGAGCCCTCAAAAGTCAGCAGCAGACTTGCGTGGTGGCAAAGATGCTGTCAGTCAGACTGCTAGGGCTTCTGTGCCAGCAAGCTCCCAGACAATTTTAAGAGAGAGGCCACAATCGGCAAAGATGGCAGGTTCCTTGCAAGGTTTTGATTCACGCTGTCGGCAGCTTGACACAAGGCGCCTTTCCCTGGCCCCACCGAAGGATGAGAGGCCACTCTCCTTGCATCAGTTCTCTGCCTCACCCACTGCATCCACCAGCAATCTGAACATGCAGCAGCAGGAGCGTGTGAACCCTGGGCAACACTACTCTCCTACATCACACGCTGCCTCTAAAGTCAAACCCAGGCCAGCGCCTCGTACTGGGGAGGTGGCTACAGTGGCCCCTACTAGAGCCGTTTCCAGCAGCACTGAGGGAAATGTTTCCCCAGGGCAAGGCCAGGGTGATGCCCTAGTTACCAAGTGCCAGGGTAAGCTGCCAGAAGGTAGTGCTGAGGCTGGGGAGGAGCCCATGAGAGGAAGCAGCTCCAACAGCACTCCTGGGTCTCCAGACCCCCAGGGGGATCAGCAGACGATTTGGTATGAGTATGGGTGTGTGTAACTCATGGATGCAGCTGGTAGTATGTGTGTTTGGCATTGCTGATGTTCAGGTAGCATTTGGCTAGACACTGTGCCGGGTCTTAAAAGGCATTACCTGCGTGCTACTCTGAGTAGTCTCTGGGTACTGTTTTCTACAAAAAGTATGATTAAGAGAAACAAGGAGCAAAACCTCAGCCCTTCTTTTGACACTGTTGTGCCTAAAACAAAGCAGAAGTCTGACCTAATCTCACAGCAGGCTTGACCCTTGATTCTTATAGCGCCTTCCCCTGTGAGAGCTCACAGAGCATTCCCCACTACAGGAGAAGCTTAGCAGGGTCCTCGGTCATTGCTGCACTGTGCACCCCTTCTACCTGCATTAAAGAAGAGTTTCACAGCTCGTGTGTGTGCTGAATCCAGCCCCGCCATTAATAAATAACGATTTTGAAAAGGTCATGTAAAAGCCAAACTTTTCCCCCAAAGACAGAACCAGACACTGGGTTTAAGTAGCTTAAAGAGAAAGTTGAACGACAGAAGTGTGTGGCTGTAGCCATGGATCTGTTAAAACCAATTGTTCTTGCCACAGTCACGTTTTATAGAGGTAATGTACAGACTTCAGGGGTCACATCTTCCCCTTCCCCACCAGGACTATGTAAACACAGAGAGGCTGGTGCGATTACCTCACTGCCTTCACTATAGTTGCAGCTCAGTGGATCCTTGACTTTGCAAGCCAAGTGGTGCTGTCTTTCGAAACTTGTTTTATCTTTTATGCAAACACTGGAACTAATGCAACCTTTCAGGGTGGGTGCCATTTCAATTACAAAGGTGGCATCTCATGTACAAAAGTGTCTTGTAAGTATGTATATAAGAAGCTCAAGTATTGTATAGGAGTGCTGTGTAAATTGTATTATTACATTTCTGTGTTCATGACAGCCCACATCCTAAGTCATATGTGGGATTTTGTCTCTTAGAAATCCTTGTTTATGTCTCCCAGAACATTGCTCGGTATAGAAAACAAAAGAATTTTGTACACATGTGAAAGAAATATACTTTTAAAAATCTATTTATGCGCAAAGAAGTTCCTTGTATGTTTCTGTCCAGAGTGTCATCAGCTGCTTATGTATATATGATCAAATGTGTATCTTTAATTCTATTACATGTTTGTAAAGCTGTTTTTCTTGCAATAGACTAAATCCTTAAAAAATACTTGTTTTGCTGGTTCTGATTTAATCTAGTAAATGCTAAAACTGATTCAGTGAGGATGTTTTTGTTAACTAGTTGTAGTAATCCCATTCTGGAAACTACAAAATTGTTTATAATAAAGGGTAAAATAAAATAGATGGAGGTTGTACTGTTTTTTTTCCTTGGAAAAGAAACCAACCATGATTCATGGTGCTCAATGAAGATATGTCTGCAGTAGCTTTGTGTAAGCCTCAGTATAGATTTATATCTCTGTGTAGCAGAGTTACGTTTGTTTTTATAATGTTGTCATCAGATATCCTTCCATTTGATTGTAACTTTCTTACAGGAGGATTAATCATGCAAATTAATGCACTTCAGATCACCGTAGAGTCAGAGCATTGGATGTTTTGTGCTTCGCTGACCGCTTCAGACAGTGCCAAGCATGCTGTTAATTTTGACCAAGCTTGCATCTTGTACAATCTGTTTTGTGCTTAACTCCCAGGATGCCTTGCAAAGTGAGAAATTATTCATCTTTGAAAGTGAAAAGAATGGCAAAAGGAATTTTCTGCCTTCTGCTATTTTAATTGCAAATAGTAGTTTTGCAACAATTTTAAAATTATATTCTATACGGTAGTTCTAGAACATACTAAGTGCTCCTGAAATTCTTCCATAAATTGCCTCTCAACATTGATTCATGACCAGATCACTGAAGGTGAAATACTGGTGTTCTTCCCTTGTTTCAGCTCCCTTTTCAAGGCTTGATTGCCCTGAAGGCTGGAGTGCTGAGGAGAACTGATCTGGAAGTTGTCGGTTACTGTAGATCTACTTTTGGGGTAAATACCTGGCCTGTCACTTACACATTAGTTGTCATTTTCTCAGTTATTTACAAGTATTTACTTTCTCAGTTCTAGTGAGTTTGAATAAAAATCTACTTAATACTTAACAATAATACCTTTCAAGTATGGGATAATTTTAAATATGGGTGTTATAACAAGGAACAGTTATTGAAGCCTGTGATGCTGTGGTGCTTGCTGCTTCCTGAGAACAGTAAGGAAAATTTTGGTATAGGTGCCTGTCCTACCACGGCAGGTATGAATTTCTTTGCAATCTACTCAAGTCATTAAATGTTTTCAGCTCTTCTGTGACATCTGTAGTGGCTTACAGCTCGCCTACTCCCGCTGTGTGCTGCACCATCAGGTAAGAGAAGGGTAGGGGGGAGGAGACCTGCCTGCACCTAAGGTGCTGCTGCTCTTTGCAGTCCTGACGGGCCATCGGCAGCATAAACGGGCGTTTTGCTGTGTCAAAACTTAACTCGATGGAGAAGTCGGTTGTGTTTAGTGGGAGAGAAGGTTAACCGGCAAATCCTGCCGCCTTTCTGTGGGCGGAGCTGGGCGGGTAGAACTGCCGTGAGGTGCCGGCAGGCCTGAGGTGGCTAACAGCGCCGGGAGATGCTGTTCTGAGAGGCGAAAGTGAAAGGGGCAGAGGTGCCAGACCATTTCAGCCTTCTCGGTTCCTTCCAAGAAGAAAAGGGGAACTCGAATGAAGTAGCGGCCGCTTCAATTTGCATGACTTGGAAGGCTACAGAGACCTGGGGTGCAGGGCCGTGGCGGGGTGAGGGGCAGGCGGCCAGGCCCAGCCCTCAGGCCTTCCCGCAGCAGCCGGTACCTGCTCTGTAGGAGCCCTTGGCTTCAGCACGTCGGCTTTTTTCCAGCTCTATGTGGCAAAGGATGATATTTCTTGACATGGGGGCAAGTGCGTGCTGAGATTACTATTTAAGTATGTTAAAAAATGCTGTGAATGGTTCTGGATATAATACTTCAAGCAACGTTCAGTAATGGAGTACTGTGTCAGTTTGTATGCATGTCTCATTAATCATATTTTCTGTTCAAGGACAGATATTTGAAGGGAATCTCATCCCAAGGAGGCAGCTAAGTTGCCAATAGGTTTCTGAGAAAGCAGAGGGGCTGTGCCTGTGGCAGCCCCCACTCCGAGCAGCGTGCTCAGACTCTGAAGTCAGTAAAACCATCTGACACAAGGAAATGTATTTTGCTTAAAATTACACGCAGAGCATGATGAAGGTATTTGCAGAAACATCTGCTGTGGAAATTGCTTCTAGGGAGTTGCGTGCTCTGCGCTGATAGAGTATGTCCTTACCAAGAAATCTGAAGCCCAGGTCCTTTACAGAGACACTGTGTCATGGAAACCTTGTTGCTATTAGATAGTCTTCAGCTGTTCCACGAACTTTGGAGCTGATCATGTAGCAAACAGACCTTTTCTCATTTCAGTTAACTGAGTTCAGAACATAAAACCATCAGAAGAATTTAAAAGTAGAATTTACTTTTTCCTGTAATGGAGGGAGGTCTGAGTCGTAAGTGCATAGTGAAAATGGCTAGCACTTAGCTTAGAAAAATGATTCATCAAGGAACACAGCATGGCTGAAAGTTATTTCTGATCAGCCAGATGTTTGGGTACACATTAGAAGTTTAACCAAAGGTAAATAACTTAAAGACAGAACATGGAAGAAATGTTCCAGAAATCATTAGTTCACGTGAACTGACTGCAACCTATATGTTAAGAAGATGTAATGAGGACATCACACTTTTTTTGGTTGATTTGTTTAACATGAATCCTGCTGTGCTGAGAGCATTTGAATTATGGTTTTGCATTTTTAGATTAAAGGGTGAGAAAAAAATCAGTTGAGGTAAGCCACACCAGAAAATTTTATCCCAACAATTGCTTCTCTGCCTGTCAGAGTTGTGGAACATCAGATCCTGGCAGCAACAGAGAGATTCATGGCAAAGTAGAAACTTTGAGAATGTTTTTACAAATTGGCAGAATTAACCTGACCTGATGATGCAGAGTGAAATAGTTCAGTCGCTGAAAATAATGAAGTTGTGGTTATGAAGGGTTGCTAAACTGGAGAAATAGACTGGGCCGTGAAGGTCTTTCTTGAAAGCTAGCACTAGAGGCTGCCATAAGAACTAAGAGAATGGCATCAGCTGGAAAGTGGTGACAAAAGTTATGATTCGAGTACTGGCAGGAGTTTAAGGTGACTGGGAGGAGTTATGTCAAGTTTAGCAAAACTGAATATTCTTTTTCCAGTCACAAGGATTTCTTTAAAAGTATGAAGAGAACAGTTGACAACGGAGCTGCTGTTTAAACGCTTCTCAAATGTGTAAGTCCTTAAAAGGCTAACTTGAGTGCTAAAGACAGTGAAACGTGAGTTGAGATTAGTTCAGATTTGGAGGATTGTGAAGAATCCTGTTAGAGTAACGTGGGTAAGTGGGCGCCCTGACAGCAGGCTGCCTGTGCTTACTCCAGCTGAAGCCATGGAAGGGACTGTTTTATTGACTGTTGAGGGGTTTTCGCGGGATGGTGATGGGGGAGTGAAATTGTTTTTTACTGACAACAGGACAATGAAATTGTGGTTATTCCACAGAAACTGGAAACCTAAAACATGTCCAAAACAAAACACAGAATGCCATGGAAACTAATGTCAGCAATATCATTCCCAGATGCTATTCTAATCATGCATGTTTTTAACTATGTAGCTCTGGTGGTAAGGTTGTGCCAAGGTATGTAATATATGTGTTGCATACCAGAATGAGGTAGAGCAACAGATCTAGGCATTGGCATTAGCCTGTGAAAAGCATGTATTGCACAAGGGAAAAATGTTCAGCTCCCTCTTCAGTGAGTGACACCCTATTCTGTGACCTGAAAGTTGTGCTGAAGGAAGAGGGCGCTTAAGAAGGGGAAAATTAAGCTATTGCTGAGACTCATTGCACCAGGCTCTTCTAGAATCAAATAGATCAATATCATATTATAGTGTTTTATTGCTTTTCA